AGGAAACTTAAAACCTGCTTCAGAGGAGGCGGGGGGATCCCAGGTTTAAAAGTGGGGTTGTAGCTTTCGGAGTCTGCCCGCTGCCTAGCTTGTACCAGCAACGTGCAATTGAGAGGAATTAAAAGTCAGCCATTTGTTCTGAGTCATTCTCGCCAACCAAGACTTTGGAGCTCCAGCTCTCTGCGGCTAGGACCCCAGCAACCCAGCCATGTGCATAACAGCTGCCTTTGCTGCCCTACAGCTTGCAGGGAAGGCAGCTGTGTCCCACTGGGCCGTCACTGAGTCTCGGTGAGCCTCGGTTTCCTCGCCTGTAAAGTGGGATTACAGAGGCTGCTCATAAGGGTGAGGGAGGCTCCCTGAGCCGTGTTTGTGGAGCACGCACACGAGTGCGCCCGCTCTTCTTGGCTGCCCCCCGGTGCCCGGCACAGAACCCACCTGCGCTGGGCACGGAGAGGCGGGTGGTGAGTGATGAGTGCCTGTGCAGAGCGTGAAGGGGAGCAGCGTGCCTGGGAGATGCTGGCTTGACCAGTAGCCCGAGTGACAGAGTGGGCTGCCCAGGGGGTGTGCCCTGAGACAGGGTCAGGCTGCAGGGGACCGGCTCTGGTGGCCACACTTAGGCTCTTGGAATCCGTCCAATACTGAGAGGGACACTTGTACCAGAGACACTTGTAAAGTAGAAAACAGACAGTATCTCCTAAAACAACAGTTTTAGATTCCAAAAGCAATGTGGCAGGTGGTGAGGAAAACCTGTGGGAGGCGGATACAATGAGAGGCAGGCAGGAGACCGTTCAGTCTGTCCGGCACAGAGAGAGGGGGGTGGGGGTGGGGGTGGGGGTGGTGGTGGTGTGTGTGTCTCCCCCGTCCGTCCCCCATCCGTTCAGTCTGTCCGGCACAGCCGCGTGTGTGCGTGTGTGTGTGTGTGTCCCCGTCCCCGTCCCCGTCTGTCCCCGTCTGTCCAGAGGGGACTGGGTGGAATTCAGAGCCCATTGGAAAGTAGGGTGGACAAGGCTGGGGACAGGCTGGATGTGGGGCACAAGGGACCGGTGAGAACTCAGAAATGACTTGGCGCTCTCTAGCTTGGGTGACTGAGTGGGTGACAATGCCAAAACCTGAGGTGGTGAAGAGAAGAGGAGGTCTGGGTGCGGGGACAGATAACACGTTCAGATGACTCGGTGACTGTAATATGCACACACACCCACAGAGAACTGCTTTCATCTGTGAAAAATAAAGCATGACTCGAGGCACACCACCTCACTCTCCTGACTCCTGCGGGAACTTCAGTCCCAAATAAGGGGGTTCTGAATGACCCTTTGAGAGAGAGAATCTAGAACAAGCTGTCCTTGTCATTCCATGGTCACCTGTGGTCCCAGGGGCTACTACACAGCGTGAAAGTAAATTTCACAGTTAACGCAGACTTTGCGTCTCCATAACCCCAAAGTCCCTTGGAAACCTGGGAGAGGCTGTACTCTATGTAACCATGAAGAGCTTAGGTTCAAATGCTGGTTCTGCTGCTTACCAACTGAGACCTTAGCCAAGTCGTATAACCTGAGTGCCTCTTCTTCCATGTATAAAATAGGGCTCATTAGGGCACTTTATGAGGCTGAAATAAGGTATGTCCAGACCATGAAATACAGGGCCAGGCATTTTGTAAATAACCTGAGCGGCTTTGTGGCTGTTGTTGTTGTTATTGTTAGTTGCTATGTCTAGGCATATATACTTCAGGATATATATACTGGGTTTAAAATCTGCTTGTGTCCTCTGTGTCAATGGAAAAAATGAGGCTAGTCTTAAGTTATATTTTCACAATAATAAATAAGCATGAAGTTCCCATGGTTGTGGGAGATTTTTTTTTAAAGATTTATTTATTTTTAGAGAGAGGGGATGGGAGAGAGAAAGAGAGGGAGAGAAACATCAATGTGTGGTTGCCTCTCACACACCCCCTACTGGGAACCTGGCCTGCAACCCAGGCATTTGCCCTGACTGGGAATCGAACCAGCGACCCTTTGGTTCATAGGCCGGCACTCAATCCACTGAGCCACACCAGCCAGGGCAGTTATGGGAGATCGTCCCCCTCCCCCCACCCCTTCCTTCCTTCTCTCTCTCTCTTTCTGTCTTTTTATGTCTCAGCAACAATTGAAGCTGTCCCAGGGAGCTCACAGGCTAATAGGGGAGACCACCATGAGAGCATGTAACTGTGATAAAATACTACTGGCATGGTAAGGTTTCTGGGGGCCTGGGCGGTAGAGGTGGAGGAGGGGAGTACTTGGCTGCAAGCAGAGGAGCAGAGAAGGAAAGCAGGATGGTGAGTAGGAGCATGTTCTTGGGCTGGGCCAAGCCCTGGGGAGGGCTTTACTGGGAGGCCAAGGAAAGAAGGGTGCTCCTCTTGTTAGTGGGAGCCCTGGGGCCTGGCCCAGTGTGGGGGGTGGAGAAGAGCACAGATGAGGCTGGAGAGGTGGCCTCCTTAGCTGCCATCCCAGGTGTGGGCCATGAGGCTGTGGGCGACAGAAAGCCACTGGGAGGTTTGCGATGGGGACGTCTGCACTTTAGAAAAGTGCCTTTGGCCATTAACCCCAAGGAAAGGCCTAGAGAGCAGGGAGGTTGGTTAGCAGAGGGGGGACTGAAGTAGGGACTTTGATGCTAAGAAACGGCTGTGTCAAGAGGTAGAGGAGGTCACATCAGTAGGACTCGGTGACTGGGTGGTGGGGAGGAGGGAGAGGGCGGGCCCACTGGGACTCTGGGTGCCCTGCCTACAGGTGGGGAGGAGGCCTGGCCACTGGAGAACGGCCATGCTCGGCCTGGGATAGGTGATTTGGAGGTGCCTGGCAGACTCCAGTCTCAGTCATTTGATAGACAGCAGGGATAAGGGGAGTGGCCTGGGAGGGGCCCGCAAGGAGGAGGCACCTGGGAGAGGGTCTGTGGAGTGAGGGCCCGGCCCTGCCAAAACTAAACTGGAAGAGATCCTCAGCTTTGAGCTGAGGGGGGCTCCTCCTGGGGACCGTGACAGGCCCCCACGAGTCCCCTGTGTGCCAACCTCGGTCTGTTTGCCCAGGGCACTCAGGGACCCACAGGTTCTGGGGGACTGTTAGGGACTGCGCAGGGACTGTGTCAGCTCCCCAGGTCTCCAAAGGCATTGTCCCCTGCGGGCTTTGCCTCACACAGTGGCCTTCCTGCTGAGCTCTAAGCCCTCAGCCTGTGCACTTGACACACTGGCTTTTTGAGGTTTTGTTTTGTTTGTTTGCATTTCTAATTTTTTTTTTTTTTTTTTTTTTTTTTTTTTGCCAAATGATATAAACAGTGTCAGCACAGAGAGACAAGCTGGGGGAGTCAAGAGCTGCCACTGGAGATTTGGCCAGAGAAGAGAGGGGCCTCCTCATTATTTTGGGAAGATCACTCCTGGGTGCCCGGGCTGGGCCAGGGCAGGGCGGGGCCTTTCCCTCGGGCTCTCAGCGGGCAGGGAGGAGAGAAGATAATGCCACTGATAAGATGGAGCTGATGGACCTCTGGACCGGGCCTGCACGTGAGGATGGCCCCTCCCTGGGTCCTGCCGCTTCTGTAGGGCGGAGGCCTGGGCCAGGGGCCGATGGGTGAACTGGCAAGGACAGAGCGTAAAGCAAGCTGGAAGCTGGGAGTTGGCCAGTTAAACAGGGAAAAATATTTTTCCCTTCCAGAAAAAACGTGTTCCCTCCTCATATTCTTAGTCTTCTCTTTGTTTTCTCATTATTTAATAAAAGAACACAGGCACCGAGACGCATTTTCTTTCCATAGGGCCATGGGGGCTGTGGGCACTTGGATAAAGAGACAGCTGCTGCTCAGCCCATTTCTTTCCTGAGGGGATTTGGGACCCATGTCACCAGATGTTTAACATTTTCAAGAAAGCTATGAATCCAGATTGAATGAGAAATCTCCCAATTGGCCGAAATTCTTAAAAATAAACTCTGTCGGCCAAGTGAAGTCTGCCTGTGGGCCGGGTGAGTCCCGAGAGCTGTGGTTAGTGTCCTCTGAGCTCCATGGACCTTGCTGACGCCCTGCCCGGCTGAGGCGCTGTGATTTATCACCCAGGGGTGGGGGAGGGGACATTCAACAGGACTGAGTCCTCTCCAGATTCTTCTGACATGAGCTTGAGTGGCTGAAGCAGGCCAAGGTCCTTCCCCAGAGTCCACTTTTTATGTCAGCACAGTGAAGGCCAGAGTTGGATCTGCAGTTTTGAACCTTTTTTTTTTTTGAATCACAAAACCTTTGCTTAAACCAAATCTCAGAGGGAAGAAATCATAGTGTACGTGACAGATAAAAACCGGAGCTCCTGCAGTCCTTGGGAGAGTCTGGAGTTTGGCCCCAGGCTGCCCCTCCCCTCCCCTCCGGGGCACCTCCGCCAGGTCCCACAGGGCAGCTCCCTGGCTGCCCACCTGCCGGCTGGCGCGCTCCACCCCGTGGCCCTGGCATTCGGTGGGTTGAATGGGAGGGAGAGAACAGCAGTGTCAGAAGGAGAGCAAGCCACAGTGGGGCTGCCCCATGGCTGGCTCCTCACCCGCATTCTGCCCAGACCCTGCCCAGGGTGACCAGCCAAACACTTGGGTGCAGCTACATTTACTGGGTGCTTTTCGTGCATTTTTACCTCTTCACGGTAGCCCTCCAAGGTGTGCGTCGCTATTTCCATTTTACAGGTAGGTAAACCAAGACACGGATAGGGGAATCGAACTCCTCACAAGGTCACTTGGCTGGAATGTGGAGGAGCTGAGATTCTACCCAGGCCTGTGAGACTCCAAAGGCTGTGTCTTCCCCTCAGAGCCCGCCCCCACCCCGTGACCCCCCCACTGAGAACTGCCCTGCCCCCAGTGGCTGTTCTGCATATGTGTCCACGCTGGGTCCCAGCCACAGTGGTTTCCATCCCTTGTGCTTTTATGCCATGCTTCAGTTGGCAAGGCCCCTTCAAACATGATCTCATTTTGCTGACGTCAGGCCTGACCCATCTAAGCAGGACTCTTCGTTTTGTCACCACGCAGGAGGCAGAACCATCCGAGCCCAGAAGTGGGGAGGTGGTGAGGAAGCCCAAGGCCGCTGCTCCGTCCGCGAACAAGAGGCCCAAGAAGGAGACGAAGAAGAAGCGTTAGAGGACAATCCTGGCGGGAGGGGCGAGGGCCTTGGGGGTGGCCCTCCTGGGACTCAGCATCCTGTTTCCTCGCTCCATCCCAGACACAGAGATGTGGACAATCGTGCCGGTCCCAGGTCCCAGCTGGACAGACCGCCACTTCCTCTTCCTTCTTCTTCGTTGATAGTTTCGAGCCAAGGGGACTGAAACACTCTGTGAGCAGAGGCTAGTCTGATCTCTGTGCAGATTACAGAGCTACGTTGTCTTACCTAGTCACGGAGTCCAGCCTTTAGTCACCCACCTCGTGGATTTACACTACATTTTAGAGCCGTTATCTTCTGCTGACAAGCACTGTCCTCTCCCATTATTTGTGCACCGCAGATTTTATGCTAATCAGTCACCTTTGCCTCCTCCACTTGTGCAGATGGAGCCAGGCCTCACCTGTCTGTTCAGATCAAGATGCCATGGCCGCTAGTGCAACGGCCAGGTGTGAAAGGTGCCTGCTGTGAGAGCCAGCAGAAGACCCAGGCCTGGGTAACACCTGGTTCTCCCCAGGCAGATGGAAGGGACGTGGTTGAATGAGTGCTTATTTCTGGGACCCAACTTTCTGAGCCTTTGAAATGGGGGCTTATCTTTTCAACCTATCATAGCATGGCTTCCAACTCTACAATATTGCCCGTCTTCCATCCCCTCCCCCTTCACCCTGATTCTTTCCCCTAACCAGTGTGGGAATGTTTGGAGGGAAAGTAAATGTCAATAAACTGCCTCGCGTGCTGAACCTCCTGTGTGCTGTGTGCTGCTGAGGAAAAGGGGCAGCCTGGTCCCTGCTCTGGGGGGAAGGAAGGGCTCACCGCCAAAGAAGAAGGACATTTTTGGCTGAGGATGGCCAGAGCTGGGAGGCGGCTCTGGTCAGAGCAGCTTTGCAGCCATTCTGGGGCAATTTTTCAGGAAGGGTCCAGCCAACTGCTTTGTGTGGCCCTTAGTCACTGGAAACACTTGTGAATGCCCATGCGTGTGTGAGAGTTTCCACTGGGACAGGCCCCACTCACCCCCCACTTCCTGCTGCCTGAGGAAGAAGCTGCTTGTCCTCAGAGCGCCTGGAGAAAAACCAAGCTGAAGGCCTCACGTGGTGTGGGGTGGGCCGCACAGGTCCAGCCACATGCCCTGAGTCAGCTGCTAAGGAAAAGCCTTGACCTAAAGTAACTCTGATTGGCCCAGCTGGTTTATCAAACACTTTCCCCAAGGGTCATGACTGATGATGAAGAGCTTATGGGGTGAGCGTGTGTCATCTCCATTTTAGAGAGAGGAGACTGAAATTCTGACTACCTGGGAGTGCCAGGACTTGGACCCAAGTCCATGGCCCTTTCCTTGGTATTTAACAAATAAATTCAGTGAGCGTCCATAGGCTCGGTGCTCTGAGGGTCCCTGCACTCCCACCGTGGGCCTGGCAAGACCTCCCTCCTCAGTAGGTCCGACTCCCTTAAATGATCTCCCATAGAGACTGTCAGAGAACAGGCCGAGGAAAACCAGGGTGGTCGTCCTCTGCTCCACGCCACCCCCTGCCACCCCACTTCCATACTTGCTATGGATAAAGTTTTTAACATTTGAGTCCCTTGGCTTCTAGGACCACCCCCCCCCCCCCCCCCGGTTGTCCTCCAGCATCACTGGGTCGTGTTCATGAGAGGGACCCAGGTTTCAGTCCTCGGTCTTCTTATCTCTGTACACACTCCCTTGAAGATCTCATCCAGGCCCATGGCTTTATGCTGTTGTCTCCCAAACAGATCCCTCCAGATGCCTCTCCTAAACTCCAGACTCACATGTCTGACTTCCTTCTCGGTACCTCCATTTGGATACCCAGCGTGCATCTCAATGCAAATCCCTGATCTCTTACCAGCTGTCCCAAGTCTGATCTCCTTGTGGCCTTCCTCATCCTAAAGAACATCTTCATTCTTCCAGTTGCTCAGGCCAAAAACTTTGGAACTTTCCTGGACTCCCCTCTTTCTTTGACACTCCACTTGTGACCCTATGTGTTTCCCTGAGACTTGACCTTCAAAATCCAGAATGAGACCTGTGTCACCGCTTCCCTCCACTACCATGGTCCAGCCACCATCGTCTCGCCCAGATGTTGCTGCAACCTCCTCCTGGATAGGCTGTCCTTGACATAGAAGCCAGAGGGGCCTTGCCAGAACCTGTAAGGTCACGTCTCTCACCTGCTCTGATCTCACTCAGGTAAAGGTCAAGCCCTCACTGGGACCCATAAGGGCCTGCAAGAGCCACTCCACCTCCTTTACCTTTCTGACTTTGTGAGAGACTGCTCCTCCCTTGCTCACTCCACCTCATCCTCACTGGCCATCATCTTCTTCAAACATGCCAGGCACCTGCTGCCTTGGGGCCTTTGAACTTGCTGTCCCCTCTTTCTCTAGATACTATGCCTCCAGTGGTAGAATAATGGTTCCCAGAGAGGTCCACATTCCAATCGTCAGGACTGGTGACTGTCACCTTACATGGCAAAAAGGGCTTTGCTGGTATGATTAAAGGATCTTGAAATGGGGAGGTGGTTCTGGATTATTCACATGAGCCCAATAAAATCACAAGGCTCCTTATAAGGAGAAGAGGAAGGTGCGAGAGTCAAAGACGAGATGGGCTGATGGGACCATAAGTTGGAGTAAGTGGAGCCATGAGCCAAGGCATGTGGGCAGCTTCCAGGAGATGGAAAAGACAGGGATAGATTTTCCCTGGAGCCCCCAGAAGGAACACAGCTCTGTTGACGTCCTGGTTTTAGCCCAGTGGGACCCATTTTGGACTCCTGACCTCGAGAACTGTAAAATATGACATTGGCATTGTCTTAAACCACTAAATTTGTGCAATTTGTTACAGCAACAATAGCAAAAGTAAGGTACATACCTTATTTCCCTTGGATCATTATTTAGGGAAGCCTTCTCAAACCTAAGTTAAAATTGCAACTTTGCCCCCAACCCCCTATCTCTCATCTCTTACTTATTTTTTATTCTGTGTATACCATCATCTAATATACTATGTAACCCTTTTTATTTACCTTGTCTGTTGCCTTATACCTCAGTTGGAATGCGAGCTCTAAGACAAAAGGAATTTTATAGTTCTTGCTTGGATGTGAATCCCCAAGGCCTAGAAGAGTGCCTGGCACATAGTATATGCTCAATAAATGTTTGTAGCATGGATCATATTAGGAGAAGGTGGCCTGCCCTGCCCCGACCAGGCGGCTCAGGGAATAAGCATTACATGTGCCCAGACACTTTACATGCACAATTCCATCCTCACCGCAACCCCACAAGGTTTGTAACATTATCATCCCCATTCTACAATGAGGACATGGAGACACTTGGAATTGAACCCAGGCAACCTGACTCCAGGGCTGACTCTCTGAATCATCCTGCCATTTCCTCCCTTTCTGCCCTGGGATTCTCAAGGACAGCTCCCTGCCAGGGAAAAGACTGGGCTCAGCTTCTGGAGGCATCCTACCCAAAGGACTAAATCACTAATGGTAAAATTATGCGCTTTAATGAGGAAGAGACTCTAGGGTGGAGTTTTTAAAAATCGTACTGAGGTGAATAACACAATATGAACTATTTTATAGTGTACAGTGTAGTGACATTTAGTACATCCACAATGTTATGTAACCACCACCCCGTCTAGTTCCAAATTAATTTTTTCCCTAAAAAAGACCCCTTCAAGCAGTTTCTTCCCATTGCTCTCTCCCCTGAGCCCTTGGCAATCACCAGCCTGCTGTCTGTCTGTAGGTATAGATTTACCCATTCTGGATATTTCGAAGAGATGGAATCACAATATGTAACCTTTTATGTCTGGCTTCTTTCGCTTGGCATGTTTCTGAGGTTTATCCATGTCATAGCCTGGATCATATCAACACTTCATTCCTTTCTATGGTTGAATAATATTCCTCTATGTGTGTGTGTGCGTGTGTGTGTGTGCGCGCGCGCATGTGTGTGTATTTTGAAGGCATGTTGGTGAAGGAGATTTTGGACATAGACTGTCACCTTTTAAACCTGGATTCCACGGAGGCAGGGCTGTGGGGTGTTAGGCAAAGGAATTCACATCTGTGATTTTTCAAAGCCTACCAAATGGTGATCATACAACAACCTTGCAGCTCTATTGTAAGAATTAGACATACTGTGTGTATGTATAGGGCCTAGGGCACATAGCATGTAGTTCATAAATGGGAACAGTGAAAGCAAGCATTCAATCTGGGAAAAAATTATCACCATTAAAGCACCCTGAGCACGTCGGCCATGACCTTGGCTTCCTTGGAAGATGAGCACGTCCTTAGCCTCATAGTCCGGGGAAAGCAGAGTTAAAGGAGGGCTTCCAAGGCTAAGCTTATGCTTGCTTCTGTAGTTGGAGAGCTGTTTAGACTTCTGGCAGATTTTGCCATCAGTTCGGTTTTCCCTTCCTCATTTATTCAACGGTCCTTCAAATAATGGAGGCTGAACGTTACATGGCAGCAAAGGGGAGAGGAACTGTCTTTTAAAAAAATTCCCAAGAAACTCATGAAAGGAGTTCTTTAGTCATCAGGGAAATGCAAATTAAAACCACAACACGATACCAGAATGACGAAGACCGAAGAGGCTGACCACAGCAACTTAGGGAGCGTATGGGGTGACTGAAGCTCTCCAAGATGGCTGCTGGCGGTGCAGAGCGCTGCCAGTGCTTTCGGAGACGTTTGGGAGCTCTTTACAGAGCTCAGCAGACACCTGCCCTGTGACCCAGCGTTCCACTCCCAGGTGTTTGTCCAAGCAAAATGGAAGTATGCTCCATCAAAGCCTTGTACTAAATTCTAGCTAGAATGTTCATCACAGCATTGATCATAATAGGCAGGAACTGGAAATAGCCCAGATGCTGATCAATAGAATGGACACATTGTAGTGTGTTTAGACAATGAAATATTACACACTGTAAAGCAATGATCTACTTATACACCCAAAAACACTAAATCAATCTCAAAACTATTATTTTGAGGTGAAGAAGCCAAACATACCCACAAACACAAATATGATGCATAACTGTCTAGTTCTATTCACAGAGACTTCTAAAATAGACAAAACTAACCTGGGGTGATAGAAATCAGATCAGAGGTTGTTACTGGAAGGATTGACTAGGAATGGGCGTGAGAAAACTTTCTGGGGTAATTGTGATGTTCTGTATCTTGATATGCAGCCATCAAAACGCAATGTTTAAGACCTGAGCATTTCATTATGCATAAATTACACTTTAACAAAAAATATTTCTGTGGGCCAGGGACCGAGCTATGTGCTTTGTACACATTATGTCATTTAACTTGTCTGCAAATCCCATGAAGTAGATATTACTTTACAGACGAGAAACTCAGAAAAGTTAATTAACTTGCTTCAGGACACACAGCAAGGAAAATGAGATTAGAATTAGAACCCAGGCAGGTGTGACTCCAAAGCCATGCCTCAAGGGCCCCTTCTTCTTCTTCAACACATTTTTTTCCCTAAGCTTTTACAGATGGGGAAACTGAGTGGCCGAGAGGGCTGGAGACACACTCAATGCCACTTAGCTTTTTGGAATCAGAATCGAGCTAGAACCCAGATCTCTTGAGCTTTCTTATTATATCACACATTCTTGCTTGGGAAAAGAGTTCAAGCTCTCTTCTACTTCTGCCCAGCTGGGGATTGGGAGCTAAACGCACAATTTTTAAAGAGGTGAGTACAACATTCATATTACAAGAGACCAAACTTGGGGCATAGATATCCTGTGATTTCA